GCAGATTTAAAATCAGGTCTTACATTAAAGCTGTGAGGAAATATTGGTTATAATATTGCATTTTCAGGTTTTTACCTACAAAATATAATGTAAAAGAGAGATAATACTCTTACAAATGACTTAGTGTTTCTTCTAAACAAACATACATAAATGCATTTTCTACTTTGGAGGATGACTAAAATAATTTAAACAATAGGACAAGATTCAAAAATTAATGCCTGCTTACTGAGGGGTGGTGTTTTCCCAGGCATTTTGAATGCACCATTCTGTAGGAAAGTTTCCTGTTGTTAACTTTATATGTGCGATTTAAATTACCCCTGCCATTTTTTTTCTTCTGTTGAATAATCAATTGTAGGCCCCTGTTAAACCAAACAAATCAATGTTTAACTCATTCCTAGAAAACCATTTTTTATCCATAGAGAAGCAGTTGGCTTCCAAATCATATTCCATTTCTTTCTTCTTTTGGTATTTTGCAAGGTTTTCAGTAGAACGTAGAAAGTGTGGGTGAAGTCCTGGCTGTGGTGAAATCATTAGAAGTTTAAGTAGTAAAAACTTCATCCTTTGTCTTTTAAGTCATGAACCAAGCAGTGAATGTGTTTTCTCACTTACAGTCCTTGCTCTAGTCCTGCCATATGTGCCTGCCTTGCACATGTAGTAGTAAAATCTGTTTTCCATGTAAAACCTGTGTCACTAAGTTTATTTATATGACTGGTGTATGAAAGCAGGCGTGGAATTTAAAACACTTACTAAACAATCTGTAATATATTACACATCTCAAGTAATTAGGCATTCCCATGTCTGCCAATTGTAGGAAATCTAACAATCCATTTTGCCAGATTTTTCTCTTTTTTTAAGCTAAAATAGTTCGTGCTTCAACTTAAGGCTTGGCTAAATGCGATTGAAACAAATAATTTGATATTTATTCTTTTAAGGTATTACATTGTTTTAAGTTGAAAGGACTTCCTAGGTTTTGTTTGCCAGAAAAAAGGAAATCATGGCCTCTGCTTAAAGGAAAAGTAATAGCAAGAAAAATTGCAGATTTTTTTCTGCTTTGCAACCTATTGAGATAATCAAGAAAGTATTTTATTCATACATCAAGCAAGGGAACTAGTAGAGGTCAAAGAGTTTTACACTATTTAAAAGAAATAAAAATCCTTTTGGATTAATATTGACCAAAAATTTTGTAACAGAGTGTTGTAGTACAGCTGTGAGAGATAATAGATCACATTCCATGATAGTAAAAAGATGCTCCTTTTAGGATTATGAGTCCATAAAAACCAAAGCCAGCATAGCATATTGAAACTCTTCTGTGGTAAATCCTCTAGCAAAGGGACCTTTGGTTCTCTACCCATACTTCTTTATTTAAAGCAATTGATTTATTTCAAGTTTGAGAGCCTGTTTCTGAATAGCTTTAATTCTGATTTTTTTTTTACTTTGTTAATTTAAACTTCAGCCTGAGGTTTAACTTTGAATTACCTTGTGTGCATTTGTTGGGTTTTTTTGTGATTTGGTTTTGTTTTTTTTCAATGGCCTTGGAATTGCATTGTTTATGAGTTGGAAAGGATAATTCTGAACATGCTCAATGATAGTCCGTTCTGAGGTACTTTGTAGAGTTTATTTAAAACACTTTTGCACACAGCTGGGCAGGCTGTACTGAAGAGGTTACTCTGAAGTAAAAGGTGACTTCATGTGCTAAAACTAATGTAAAGTCTTTAAGATGCTATGGGCACTCAGCATGTTCAGAGATGTATTTGCAGGTATAGGATGCTGTCAAGTTTATTTATGTATAAATTATTACCGGAGTATGATTGAATATTACCAAAGTCTTATGCAGATCAATAAACTTCAAAGCAAGTGCTCAGGGACTTTACATGGTTGAATATCTGATATTATGCACGCATAGTAATGATTAAATTACCTTCTGTTCATTTAAATAATAATTGGCATTCTTAACAAACACACGAACACAAAACCAAATCACTCACTAGGTGCATCCATAAAAAGTTTAGCATGGGAAAAAAATGTCCTAAGACTTTGTGCTGGTTTTGACTGGGATAGAGTTAATTATTTTTGTAGTAGCTAGGATGGGCTATGTTTTGGATTTGTGCTGGAAACAGTGTTGATAACACAGGGATGTTTTTGTTATTGCTGAGCAGTGCTTACACAGAGCCAAGGCCTTTTCTGCTTCTCACACCATCCCACCAGTGGGTAGGCTCAGAGGAAATGAATCTGGTAGAGGACACAACTGGGACAACTGACCCAAGGGATATTCCAGACCATATGACTTCATACTCAGCATATAAATCTGGGGGAAGAAGAAAGAAGAGTTCAGAGTTACAGTGTTTGTCTTCCCAAGTCACTGTTACACATGATGGAGCCCGGCTTTCCTGGAGATGGCTGCACACTTGCCTGCCCATGGGAGGTGGTGAATGAACTCCTTGTTTTACTTGACTTGCAGGCATGGCTTTTGCTTTACCTATTAAACTGTCTCTATTTCAACCTCTGAGTTTTGTTTTACCCTTCTGATTTTCTCTTTTTTGTCCCACCGAGAGGAGTGAGCGAGCAGCTGTGATGCTTAGTTGCCATCTGGGGTTAAACCCTGCCGGGGTTCTATGTCATACAGTAAAGTAGTTGTAGAGGGGAGAATAACACAATGACCACCAGGTATAATTAGAAAATCTGTTGGCATGAATTAGAACTACCAGCTTCTTTGAGATGCTTCTTATTTGGTAGCACTGTGTTTAGAGAAGGACAACTTCATGGCTTATTAGAAACTGTTCCGAAAACAAGTGTAGCCTTTTGAATCTAGAGGATGCAGAGGGAGAAACCTTTGTTTCCTATTGTAGCTGAGCTGCTGTAACAAAACTTGAATATCTCATGCTATTTTGCAGTAACAGGATAGATGAGTGAAACAGCTGTCAAAAGAGAACTGTGAACATCTTTAGCATGATAGGATAACTTAGTTTGGAAGGGACTTTCTGAAGTCATCTCGTCCAATGTCTTGCTCAGAGCAGGTCTGGTAAAATGAGATTGCTTGGAGGTTTGTTACAACTTAGCATGCAGCTCAGGGGCAGCATAGGCTTCTAGACCACCACAGTCTTTACAAAGCTGTGTGAAGCTTGGGGTTGTTTTTTCCCTCTACTTATAAATTAGTGCTAGTGTGCATGCAGCATGCAGCTCCTGTTCAAGGGGTTTACGGGGTGAAAACATCTCCTCTCTTTTGGCTAATTTTTTGGGGAAAGAGGAGTCTGGTTTTACCCCTATTGGTTTCTGTTTTGTGCACCACTTGATCTACAAATATGAGGAGGAATGATGGGGATGAGTGAAGAGGAAGAATACAGACAAGGCAGTGGCATCCACAGAACCTCACACCAAATTTTTTCTTAATGCTTCAGTGGAGTGCAGTCCCAGTGATGTTTGTGGAGGCAGAACTGGCTGCCAGACTTTCCCAAACCAATTCATTGCTAACTTGACTTCAGTATAGTCTGTATTCTTTCAAATACAGCAAGTAGACTTTCAAGAAGGTCTAAATACAAGATAAATTAGAAAGCAGTGTAATTAGTATTGGAAAAGGAATAGAAAGGTCTTTCAGCTCACAGTAATTCTTCAGGGCTTTGAAAGTAGTTTAACATCTTGCTTTTAGAATAAGCTATACAACTTCTAAGATAAATCAGCTCTCCAAACTAGAGTTCAGAAAGTAAAAGTACTGTTTTAAAGTTTTCTAGTATGTATCTAAACATGGGTATACATTTTGTGAGTCGTACAATACTGTCCAGTAGATGTATGTTTACTCTTGACTTGTCTTGCTCTGTATGTAAGAGGTGAGTTTAGTTTGTTCCACCAGTGACCTCGAGTGTGTAACTTTAATCTTAGAACAGGCTAAGCTTTTTAAGATATAGGTAGTTCTTCTGCCTGGAGGAGTGATGTATTCTGTCAATTTGGAATGCTTAACCTTTCATCCTTCTGGCAAAGCTCTCCCTCTTTGAGAAAGTCTTGGGATGTCATTTGGTGACACCCTAAGGATATGCTTTGCATAAATAACCCAGACTTTAAGATGTTCTTTGTCATGGTTTACATCTTGAATACTGCTGTCAGATGTTACGAGTTATGGAAAACAACAAGCAGCAGTTTGAAAACTGCCCTTTTCTTTCCTTTTTTTTTTTTTTTAATTATCTTCCAGCCTTGCATTCTGTCAAGAAATGGAGAAGAGTAACCAGTTTTAAGTCTGCATCATGACTGGTGCCACTAATAATTTGATATGAAGGTGTGCATTACTAACCTGTGATAACGGGTTTTTTTGTCCTGTGACCTCCCTTTTATGACTTCAGCAGTGCAGACTTTGAATTAGATAAGAAATTAAAAATGGGGAAGTGTAGATGTCCTATTTTACTCCTATAGGCTCAAAGACTCATTTGTGGCCTCAACAGGTGTTTGTAGATCTAAAAAATCCTGAAGTGAACACATTTCGACAGTGTATCCTTGGTAGAAAGGCAGCAAGTCCTGGTAGATTAATGTGTCTTTCAGGGTGAGGATCTTGAGATGCTTGGATTTTATTCTGTTAAAAGTTGCTATTTTTAAGATAAACATATATATGTGTGTACATATGACTGAGGAACATAAAGGGAAGGACCTGCATATTTGCTATAGGAAAATGCTTTTAATGTTGTGTTGTTAACTCAAGTAGTTTAAGCATTTGTAAAATTACTCAGAATCCAAAAGAAACGTGAAATATCTTCAATCTCCTCATTACCCCTTACTATTTTTTTATTTTATTTCTTAACCAGAGGCCTTTTGCAACCTGTTGAAACCACTCCATGAGAGTATTGTTTGGGTGGAAAGCTCCGATAATTTACAGTCCTATATTTAATATGACCTGTAGTTGAAATACAGGAAAATCACTCCTGAAAAATTTGGGTGTTTTTTTTTATTTGTTTGTTTTCAGATTGACAAAAAGTAGTTGCAAACCTCCTTAAATTGTGCAAATGTCATCTTCTTTTCAGGTGAAAGTTATGTGTGTGCATCCAATGAACCATATCGCAAAGTTGATTACACCAAGAACGTCAATCCGAACTGGTGTGTGAACATAAGGACTGGATCCAGTCGATCCTTGACATCTTTGACATCCACAAAGAGTGAAGTGAAGGAGAGTAAAGATTTCATTAAACCCAAATTAGTGACTGTTATTAGGAGTGGAGTAAAACCACGTAAAGCTGTGAGAATTCTGCTGAATAAGAAGACTGCTCACTCCTTTGAACAGGTCTTGAATGACATCACCGAAGCCATTAAATTAGACTCGGGTGTAGTCAAGAGACTTTGTACACTGGACGGAAAGCAGGTAGGAGAATAAACTGCTGTGACCATCTAATAGCTGTGAGTTAATCTAAGCTGCTTTGTTTTCGTAATTTGAATTCTTGTTACTGTACATGCTTTAACCTGCGTCTGAATAAGGACCGTTAGAAAACATCAACTTTAAAAAATTGTGTTAAAATATTAGTATATACAACAAAATTAGAATTGTATGTAATGCAAAATAAGTTGATCGTTATATTCTAAGTAAAAAAAATATTTTTATGCTAACCCTGTTACATTGCTAAAAAAAGTACCTGTTGCTTTAGTAATACAATTTATTTGAAACATTTGAAAGGAAACTTTTTAAAATACTTCTGTGTTCTCAGAAGCAGAGTCCTGTTTTCAGACTACTACATAGTGCTGACTGGTAGAAGAAAAATATTGATGCCTCCTTCCATTTCACTTCCATAGATTGCTACTCAAGTAGCAGTAACTGACATGATCTAAGGTCAAGAATTTTATCTGAAATGAATAATTCTGGGAGGGTGGTGACATCTCTGCAACTTTCTTTTTTGCGTTTAATTTTACCACTGCAAAAACATGCTGCCAGGATTAATGATGTGGTAGGTCAGTATTCTCCTGCAGAAATACAGAGGATTGGCCCACAAAATGTTCTGCTGCACCAATTTAAAGTGTCAGGGATATATTTGCTGTTGGTCAGTCAGGTTAATGACTCAGCCCTTCATGGAACAGGACTTTGATACTTGACACTTTTATTTGACACTGATTTGACAGCATTGTGATTTTAGTAATAGAGCAACACAGGCTGCAAAGCAGATCACATTTGGTATTGGGTACCTGGATTATTGTCCTGGTGACTAAATATTAGTATCCCTGCTCATTCAACAGGTATTTCTGTACACTTGCATGCCTATATATTTGCATGGACTATTTGTAGAAGTTTCAGTTGTATTCAGAAATGTGGGAATTTTTATTGTCAAGGTTTTTATAATGGTTGTAATCCTACAGACTGCTTTAAAAGCACTTTTTTGTGGTGCGGGTTACTAGGAAATGTATTGCAGAACAAGTGCACTTAGATGGCCTCGATATGAGGTCTGTCTCTGGTTATGTTCTGTGTGCTTGGACACACTTCTTATAATTAAATACATGAAAAGAATAACTTCTGGATTTTGGTAATAAATGTAGCAAGGCAAATGCATCACTGAGACTGTTGATTTCAGTACTTGGTGGCAGCACTATAATGTGCTCTTTAGGTCTTCTAATAGGTTTGATTTTAAATGAGGTTTGTTAATGCTACTTCATAAGACAGAATCCTTCCTAGGAACATCTGAAATGTTTTGCAGTCATGTTTAATTCAATTCATAATAAAATGGTTTTGAGGATATTTATTATGCAGTAATTAGTCTCTTCTGGCCATGAAGTCCTCTGTTACTGTCTTGGATAAGATGCTTTTAGTCTTCTCAAACAAGTCAGGAAAGGAAACTCAGTTCACATTCACTTCTTCTTTTACATTGTTAATACAGTAGAAGTTAACTGATCTGCATTGATGTCGAAGATGCTGTAGCGCTTCAGAGAACAATAAAAATAATTAACATTAAATCTCACATATATTGCTTGCATGTTACCATCACTCATGGTGGATAATGTCTTCAGTCCATAGTGAGGATGACCAATCACTGGTTATACTCCAAAATAAAATTCCTAATTGCTGCAGTACCTCCTCCTGCCTTTCTCTGGTAAAGGCAATAATCCAACTTGGACTGCGGATGTAGAAGTGTTCTCAAGCAGGATTGAGAAATCCCTAGTTCTCACTGGGAACAGCCTGCAAATAGCTGTTCCTTACAGCTGACTCTCTGTGTAAACACTTTCAGCAGTAGTAGAAGTAGTGAATAAATGTGGAGACCTCCCTTCCATTTGGAAGAAGGGCCTTTTGCTTTACCGTAGACTTTGGGAAGGAGCCTTTGCTTGCACAACCATAGTGAAATTGTGTTTTGAGTGGTCATGAAACGTAGTGCCCCAGAGAGAAGACCTATGGCTTTAAACACCCTTACAAAAAAGCCTTCTAGTGCATATCTGGAAAGATGGAGAGTTCTGGGTTTTTTTGTTTGTTTCTTTTTCCCCAAAGTGAAGGGCTGACCCCAGTTTGAGGCTGTAGGGTGTTTTTTTTAATTTGTTTGTTCATTGCTGGTATATGTAGAGGTTGGTGCCCAGGGGCTTTTTGGGGTTTGGCACATGAAAAGTTGCTTTGCTGCCAGTTACCAATTGGTGGAAATTTCTGAGCCTATTTTCTCTAATGCAGTAATTGCTTATTCTTCTAAATGTGCTAGGGAGGCAGATCTTTTATGTTTGTTGTAGTATTGGCACAGCTTGAAAGGCAACCATTAAAAAAAAGGCATTTTGTAAATGGCTGTGTTCCTGTAAATGTTGCTCTTGTGTTCTCATGGGTTTGACTTTTTTCTTCTCCCTGCTCCTTCATGTTTTTATCTCTGTGGAAATACTTTTTTTTTTTGTAGTGAATAGATTTAGGTTGTATTTTCTGTTTAATATGGAAGTGGCCCTGAAATTCAGGTGTTTAAAACATGCATGTATAAAATTCATATCCTTTTACAAGGGAATGTGTTGTTCTGTTAACTTATGGGGTGATTTTGTATTCCAATAGAAGTATTTAACACGTGTAGTAAGAAATGATGATGAAATCAATGATCTCTGAAGAGGTCTTTCTAAGCAGTACAACAGAAAGGATGTCCTCAAAATAGTTTTTATTTACCCTTCTGACTTCATTAAATCTTGACTGTAACAACATCTTGATGATAGTAATGATACAGAGAATAACATCCGAGTTGGATATTTTCCTTGATTATTGTGTGTGAAGGCAGACAATTATCTAGCTTTTAATTGTAAGATTTTATAATATTTACAAGGTTTCCTTTTATCTTCAGTTTCAATATACTGTAACTTATTAGTTACATAGTGCTTTGTAGCCTCAAGTACAGATTTATTTTTTAACTATGTTGATGCAACGCTGACTTTTAACTTTCAAGCTATTGAGGAACCAACTTCTTTTACCTCCCAAGACTTTTTTGAGGGTTTCTATGTGAGAAAAAATATTTCTATCAAAGTAACTAGGCTTTAACTTTGCAGTGCAGGCTTCTGCTATTCCAGTCTTTGTGCTTTTGACATTGAGGTTTGCCTAATATATTTGCTTGACCGAAGTGTTTTCCTTACTTGGCTGCGTTTTTCCTGGAATCTGTCACTATCCTACTGTGAAGCAAGGACACTGAGACTGAACCTTCTCCAGTTGGGAAGTTAACCATTTGTTTACCCTGAAGAGAATGAAGGGCTTCTTTCGTGCTAAACAAGTTTCAAGCTTCAGTCATTGCAAAGTGTGAGGTGGCAACTTAGTGGTAAATTACCTGCACTAGTTGTTTAAAAGCATTTATTATATTGGGGGAGGGGGAGGGGAAATTTCCTGTGAGAAGCTCACAAAAAACCATGCAGAACTCTGAAGCATGTTATTTGACACACAATAGAAAATTAAATTTTCACATTTTTTAGGCTTGCAATGTGTTGCAGTTTGATGGATTAATATCCGTAACAGAATTGAAAAGGTGGATGAGCCACCTTTTCTGTACTCCATTCCCAAAATAGTGAGAATGCACTACAGATAAGCCTTAGTTTGAAGGTCTTTTTTGGTGGGCCGTAGGTATGATGGTGACTGTCTCTGAAATGAAAAGCTCCCCAGTTTTCTGTTAATGAGGTTTTTTTATAAAGTGCTAATGAAAGTAAATAGGTAATTGAAGAAAATAGATACTACGTGTGGGTGTATTTATCAGACTCATCATGCTCTCCTCTCTGTAATTTTTTTATTTTCCACTGGGAGATTTGAAACTTCTTAGTAGAGAGGATGGTTTCTGTACACTGAATTTTATATTTACTTTGCTGTTAATATGCCCATCATAGAGAGGAGAAACCAAAACAAGGGATGAGCAGGAGAAATTTCATTTATTAGTATAACAGATACTCCCCATATTCTTGATTCAGTTCTTTTGGCACATAGCCTTCAGTCATTCAGATCTGCACATTTCCATTAATACAGTATTTTTGCTGTAGTCTTAATCTCAGTGAGATCTGACTGTTTAGTACTGGGACAAGTTTTAGAACATGTGAATTTTGTTTTTTCTCAGTTTTGCAGTTTTGTATGTGAAGTCATATTGTATGAGATGATTTTTTAAAAATAATTTTATTGCAGTTAAATAAGTGGTTTTAGCAAATATTTCCCTTTAGTTTAGTTCTCTCCTACTTAAGGAGGAGGTTCCTTAAGAAACCTGGCTCTAGGTGTTGTGTACTATTTTATTTTTATTTAATCTTATGTCATGTAATTGTCCTGTTACATCATTGATATCTCATTGCAGGCTGAGAAACAACTGTAATAGAAATGTGCTTCAGTGTTAGCAGACATTATTTGAATGCACAGATTTGAATTTCTGCTACAGGCAATTTTGCAAGAATATAGAAATCTCCAGCTTTTTTTGCAGTTCTAGTTCTGTTGAAATTTAATATATCATTTTAAGCTGAAATGTTGCATTAATCTGCAAGTATGAAGGGAAGAAATCCTTAAGCCCTTGCATATCTCGCAACTCTTAAAAAGGCTTATGTATTGTTGAAGAGGAGTGTCAGTGACAGCTGGAAAGAGAGCGGTTCTCTGCATTGCAGATCCCACAGAAAGTTGGCATTCGTGGGCAAGGAGTCTTTCCTTATTACTGTGTGACAAATAGTAAAACATATTGTGGAAATGAAACCAGAAGTTGTATTTAGATTGTCTTTAAAAAGAGAGACAAAGGGAAGGAAACAATGGTGGCTACTTCCTTGTATCTGAAGGAAGCTTTTGGATATGCTGTCTTTTCTCATCAATGAGCTGGGAAAGCATGGTCCGGAAAATGCACTACTTACTGAATGCACCATTAGGATACTGTTGTTTTGAGTGATTGTTGATGATTCACTGCCAAACCGGCATTTTATATGAGT